CTTCTGAAGTAGAGTAGGCCCTGAGAGGGAAATAAATCAGGGACAAAGTAGATTATTTAACCTCAGGTGGATTTTGGAGAACACATTTACTTCTCAGCTGGCAGGGGCGTGGTCTGTTCTTCTTTCAAAAATGGTAAAAGAGGAACATAGTTCTGTGAACGTCAATGATTATGGACCAACCCTCCACGCTGTCACCTAAGTTTCTGACGAGTTTAATTGAGTCCTAGTGGGCGGTTCCCACCACAGCCCTCTAAGCTGTGTCACGTGTCTCGACACTGCCAGAAAATACATAAATGAAGCTGAGAGTGGGACTGTGAGGGTGGGGGAAGATGATTGACACCCATGAAACTCTGAGCTGAGTTAGCTACGAGCTAACTGAGTCAACCGAGGGTAACAGAGATTTAGCTTACAGACAGCTTCAGCAGAACGACTCTGCTGACCTCTGCCTCCTAGGCTGTAACACTTTAAGCGTAAGGCCAAGGCGGAGGCCTTCTCTGGAGGAAGCAGGAGGGCAATCAGCTAGTGCTTGCTCTGATGGCTCATCTGGAACCTGTCAATCAAATGGACACACGCCAAAGTATCTAAAATTTCAAGCTTTAATTAAATCTACATGAGTTAGAAAAAAGTTTGTCCCCCCTCAGAGTTGTCATGACAGTAAACTTGACATACCGTAAATCCTCTAATACAGGCCCGGGCCTGTATTTGACTCAAGCTCATCAAGCTCCAGGCCTTTATTGGAAGGAGGGCCAGTATTAGAGGCAGGCCTCTATTTCTAATTGAGCAACATGAACTAATGGTTCGCTGGAGTTTTTGACAATTAAAATTGAGCCTACATTTTCAAAGTTAAACACATTTCTTTTAACAACGGTAGTTTCTGCTTCAGCCCTCTCCCCCCTCCCCCTGCTTCAGCCCTCTCCCCCCTCCCCCTGCTTCAGCCCTCTCCCCCCTCCCCCTGCTTCAGCCCTCTCCCCCCTCCCCCTGCTTCAGCCCTCTCCCCCCTCCCCCTGCTTCAGCCCTCTCCCCCCTCCCCCTGCGTAGCGGCTGCAAACTCACTGATGCGCCTGCAGCCTCTCGGAGTTCCTGCTGCTCTAAACATTAAAATAATTATTTCATTTTCTGTTCCTCACTTCTGATTACCCTCAGTGGTGTCTGTTTGTTGCAACCAGCAGGTACAAAAACTAACTTGTTTTTATTTGACTATTTTTCTGTCCTGTCTGTTTATTATCTTCCTGCATCTCCTCTCAATCCTAAAGAGAAACTGCTACCTGGGTTCATATATATTCACCTCATGAGTTACCTTTGAACTGCAGTTCTAAAAGATCTACCGACCGCTAAAACAGCGGAGTGCGTGCTGCTTGGCGGCCGCATCAGTGATCGGTGCATCAGAGGACAAGGTGATGCGCCCCGCTCCACAGCAGCGAAACACATCAGGCGCAAGTAAAAGACAGAAAACATTAAATGAAATGAGCCGACATGAACGATCGCGTGTCAGTACCAACGCTCTGGCACAGCGCGTTGCCCCCCCCCGAGCGCAGGAGCTTGCCACCTGCTGACAGCAGGCTGCTGTCTTTTCCGAGGGCTGCATCTTGCCGGTCATTATCACGTGACAGCGACTAGTCGACGACAGGCATAAAAAGTCACTATAGTGAAGTCGACTAGTTCATACAACCCCTATTGCTCCCCAGTGTTCTGCAGCGCACGTTCTCTTTGAACTTGATATCAAATTTTCGCCTCCTCTTCGTCTCCGCACGGTTAAAGTTACCCTCGAAGTCTATCACTGGCAAATCAAAAGTGAGACGATGACACAACCGCCCCCCGTACTTGCTTGTTACCACATTCCACCCGGCCACAATAAGAGACCGGCCATTATTCACCTCCGCCGACTCCGACACCGGCCAAAATTGGAGACCCGGCCTTTAATTGAATACGGGCCTGTATTAGAGGATTTACGGTATTAAACCTAAAACATTTTTGTACCACATGCTTATTTCTGCTTTGAATTTAGCATTTAGGGGTCATTGGTGACTTGCTCCTTTCTCCAGCCCCTAGTATGAGAGGGGAACTGCAATTTTTGTCACTTCCTTGCTGGCTTTAATTTTGGAAAGGCGGAGTTTTCTCCTTGGTGAGCCTGTGATGTTGCCGAGTCTGCACCAAGCTAATGCTGCTAATGTTGCCATTCAACACTGGTAATGAAAACGTTCTAGAATGGTTCAAAGCAGTGGTTCCCAACTGGGGGGTCTGTGACCCCCAAGGAGGTCCCCACTAAATTGTCTGTACTGAGGTTGTGAGATTAGCAAGGTTATATTTTTAAAACTTAAATGTGTAAAATCCCAATATCCATCCATTTTCATCTGCTTTTCTGGGGTTGGGTAGCGGGGGCAGTAGCCTACGAAGAGAGGCCCAGACCTGCCCCTCAGCTATTGGGCCAGCTCTTCCGGGGGCTCTCAAGGCGCTCATAGTCTTTCTAGCACGTCCTGGGACTTCCTTTGGGTCTCTTCCCAGTTGGATGGGCTTGAAAAACCTCACCAGGGAGGCATCCCAACCAGATCCCTGAGCCACCTCATTTGACTCTTCTTGATGTGGAGGAGCGGTGCATCTACTTTGAGTCCCTCCCGCACGACTGCGCTTCTCACCCCGTCTATAAAGCCCTTTTTACAAAACACACCATGCCGGGAAATCAGCGTAATGTTACTGCTACAGCGTGCCTAATAGACACGCCATGCCGGCATAGCATTGCGCCAATTTTGCAGCATTCGCTACGCCTCGCTTGATAGTAATGTTGCAGTAATTGTCTGTCTCATAAAAGGTGACTGCGCCTTGTAAGCAAGTAAATTTTATTTGTAAAGCACTCATCACAGACAGAAAATCGCAAAGTGCTTCAGATCAAAACAAAACAAAGTATAAAGTCATAAAATCCTAATAGCTCAAAACTGAAATAAATGAAAGTCAGAACAACAAAGTCATAAAATTATAAAATACCATAAAACTAATAAATGATGATTACAAATTTGAGTAAAATAATAAGAAAATATTTAGGCAAAAGCAGCTTAAAATAAAAGGGTCTTTAGCTGTTTTTTAAAAGTGTCCAGACTGTCAATACTGCGTAAGGATAAAGGAAGATCATTCCAGAGTCGGGGAGCAGCAGTCTGGAAGGAGCCATCACCTTAACTTTTATGTCTGATCTTATGAACTTCTAGAAGGTTCTGGTGTGTGGACCTGAGGGCTCGGTTGGAGCATAAGGCTTTAACAGTTCAGTAATGTAAGGAGGTGTCAGGCGTGCCGGTGAGTGAAATGGAGGTGAGGATCCACACGCGGGTGAGGAAGGAGGCAGGCAGGCGGACAGGAACATTTAAAGGGTTTTAATGAGACACGCAGGACAATGAAACAGTGAATCAACCAGACGAAATGGACTAACAGGGTTTAAACACAGGAGGAGCTGGGACCTTGGGTGATTGGGCAGAGAGGCAGGTGGGAGCAATTAACATGGACACAGGACTGAACCGAATGGGGAGACAGGACAGGGTGTGACAGTACCCCCCCCCCCCCCCCCCCTCAAAGGGCGGATTCCAGACGCCCACAGGAACATAGAGCAGGGTGGGAGGAGGGGGACCCGGAGGGAGGGCCGAGAGGGACTGACGGAGAGGAGGCAGGGACCAGTAGAGTCCGGGGGCCTGCGTCTGTGGCAGAGGAGGAGGCGACGACGGGCTCTTGGAGGCCCGCGCCTGGTGAGGGCAGGACTGGCGGTGACCGGAGGCAGAGACGTCGGAGGACACGTCTTTGACTTCTGGACTGGAGGCGGCGGCGACGACCTCAGGGCTGGAGGCGGCGGCATCGGCCCCCCGGGCCAGAGGCATCGGGGCATCGGAGAACAAGATCCAATAGCATTAAGTATGAAAAAAAAAACTATTTTTTTAACCATTGGTTGTAAAAATGTGAACCTTAACGGACTGCTTATGTCGGAGATTTTGATGCAGTCCGATGTAATCCGATACAGTGTTTTTGGGCTGATATCGAATTACTTTCGATGTCGATGTTGGAACGGGATATCCCTAAAGCTGAGCAAAGTAAGTTGGAACTTTTCACCATCTCATTCAAAGATGTTATCAGTTCTTTAAAATGCAGCCTATGACATTCTAATCTAGTTGACTTCCAATGCCTCTCGGCTTTGCCTTGGCGCAACAGCGGGAGGTGTGATGACGTGGGGAGTTAATGCCGAGCTCCAGCCGGCAATTATATTGAAAATAAAAGTAAAAACAGGCCATAAGTTGAGAGGTGAGATGGCAAACTGGAGCAATGCAGCGCTCCAGGAGCTTCTCTCCGTTGGTGCTGGAGGTCAGATAACCAGAGACTGCACGAGGACTATGGAGGACAGACACCTTTATGTGCGGCCTGTTAAAAAACTTAACGAGCGCAGCTTCAATCACAATAAAAACAAGTTATGTCCAAAATAAACGGAAGTCCGTGGCAGCTGGCCCGATACCCCCGTAACGCCACCACCTCGTAATCCTTCCTAAAAAGGACACGATTGCAACACATTACCGCCACTGTCTGACCACCTATAAACAACCTAAGCTCCCTGATGCCGCCACAGCTTTGCATCAAATTGATGGCACTGTTTTGTAAAAATGGGAGAGTCCAGCCACCCTGTAGAGAAAACTCATTTTGGCCACTTGTATCTGTGATCACATTCTTTGTGTCACCACCCGAAGCTCATGACCATAGTACACATTTATACTAAAGATCACTGCAGATGTATTGAAACAATCAGTGAACTTAGTCCTTAAAGTAGCCTAAAGTTTATTTTTTGTTTGTTTGTTTTTTTCCCCCATAATTTACAAAGTTTACATAGAAAATAAAGTACGCCATTTTTAGACCCTGTGTGTGCATAAGCAAGTTTTATAAATGGGACCCCTGGTCACTGGCCACCCCCAGCCTGGCCCTGACCGGCCCTGTGGACCCGGGCCATTGCGGCTCTAACTTGATTATTCCGCCGACGTTTGGCGCTATGACTGCGGCCATGTGCTAATCAGCTGATGCGCCACAGCCGCCTCTATTTAACTCCGGTTGGGCGTTAAACTCGGACACAAAGCCATCATGCCTCCGTTTGACAAGAACCCACTGCAGAACAAACCCTTCAAACAGAGGAAGAGCTTCGGTAAGCGTTCACGACCGGAACCAGAACCTCACCAAGTTACAAATGCGAGTGTAATACCTGTCTTTTCTTGGCAGCCACTAGAAAACTGGAGGTGGCGGGGATCCGGTCCAAGTTCCCCAACAAGATCCCGGTAAGTCGGAGGACCTGGTTCGGACCTGGTTCGGTCTGGTCGTGAAAAGCTGGGTTGGTCTCAGATGTTTTTCCTCTGATTTCAGGTCATCATCGAGCGCTACGAGAAGGAAAAATACCTTCCTCCTCTGGACAAAACCAAGTTCCTGGTACCACACGAACTCACCATGACCCAGTTCGTCACCATCATCAGGTAAAGGATCCACTCGGACCTGGGCCCGGACCAGATCAGCTGTTAGTAACCCCTCAGAGACATGTACACCTGAAGGGTCTGGCTTAGTCATTTACTGAGGTTTGTTTTCTGTTTGAGACGTTTTCTGACCGCTGGAAGGACGCGTCTAATTCCCGGGAATGAGAAACCTCTCCTCGTTCATTACTGTGAATTCTGACTTTCTGTTGCTGCACGTTCTCCTCTGCTGGTGACCCAGTAGAACCCACTAGAACCAGTCCTGCTGTGGCGTACTTCAGACTGTTGAGTAGCTTTGATCAGAAAACAAAGCGTCTGAGGGAAGATCGATGAACTCACCCGTGAGACAGCTTGTTGCCATGGAGACCACAGCGCTCTGATAGTTTAATCTGTCAGATCGGATTTGAATCTTCCAGCTCAAGTTCAGAATATTTTCAGCAGTCTGATGGTCTTTGACCCCCCCCCCCCCCCCCCCCACCCCAGGGGACACGATCTATACTGGACCAGGCGTCCTGGTTCGGGTCGGTTCTGCTGCTCTTAAGCAGAACAACAAAACTTAGATGGGGGGTGGGGGTGGGGGGGGGGTGGGGGGGGCTTTTAGAAGCAGAAACTGATCCATCAACAGGGGTGGGATTGGGTGTCTGTAGAGCCACTGTAGTTTTTAGTCAAATATCTGACAAGAGGTCAAAGGTCAGACTGACCCCGCTCTCATTTGGTGGGTCAGAGTCCAGAAGCAGAATCAGGGTTCGGTTCTCGGCAGCGCCCCCTTGTGGCGTTTATGAAGCAGCTTGAACTGAATTTCAAGCCGTTTCAGATTTTTGGTACCTGGTGGTGATGGTGGTGATGGTGGTGGTGGTGGTGATGGTGATGGTGATGGCAGAGCTGCCTCCAGTTGTCCAACCCTGGTCCTCAAGGTTCTCCTAGCTGCAGGTTCTAGATAAATGGTGTCCAGACCTCCAGAGAGGCCCAGCATCTTCAGGGTAGTGACGCTTGCAGCTAAAATAAAATGATTAAGATAAGATGCCACACTTGTAGAGCACCTTTCAGAATTGGGACTCAAATCGCTTTAGTGTCATCCATTCACACACTGATGAGATATAAAGCCACAGCTGCCCTGGAGTGCACTGACTGAGGTGGGGCTGCAAGCTCAGCACCCCCAAGGCCCTCTGAGGCAGGCAAGGAGGGTTGAGTGTCTTGCCCAAGGACACAACAGCAGAATTTTCTGGCAGAAGCCAGGATTAAACCTGCAACCTTCTGATTACAGGACAACCTGCTCTACCTCCTGAGCTAGTGCTGCCTCCTTCGATGCCACGTGTGCGTGTTGTAGACACGTCTGCTCCAACACACATGGTTTGAAATGGGGGTGGATTAGGGGTGAGATTCACTACAGGAAGTGAATCTCCCATGATCCTTTGCTTCTCCCAAATCGGATATTTCTAGCTGAGGTTTGTTTGCAGCATGATGAAACTTTCTGAGACATTCTGTCAGTTTTAAAAGTCTTACTAAAATCAGACTGACTACTGAGAATAAAATAACTGAATCAGGAAGTGAAGATTTTATTTTACTACTTGGTTTTGTAGATCCTTTGGCGTTTAGGACTTTAATGGTTCTGTTCTGAATCACAGGAACCGGATGGCTCTGCTGCCCAGTCAGGCCTTCTACCTGCTCATCAACAACAGCGGCTTGGCCAGCATGTCCCTGACCATGGCCCAGGTCTACAAGGACCACCAGGATGAGGACGGCTTCCTCTACATGACCTACGCCTCTCAGGAGATGTTTGGACTCTAAAGCTCAATGTTTTATTCTGCTCCAGGCTGCTGGTCTGACTCTGCTGTAAATAGAAAATATTTTTATATATTTTTGAAGATGAATTTTAATGACGTTGATCCAATAAATGCGTTGATCTGGAGTCGTCTGGTTGTGAAGGTTCTCTAATGTTCTGTGGGTGTTTGGAAGGTTCATTCAGGTTATTAAGGATTGGTATGGATTAATCCGCTTTAATTACTGACGCACTCTAAAAGGAAAAGTAGTTGTTTTGAATTGGGAAGTTAATACTGAATTAGCTTTTTTGGTTCTTAATGAGTTAAATTCAAACAATAACAAAAAACCTGAGATCTCAGATTCTACAGCAGAAAGAATTGTGACTTTATTTTTATTTGTCCCTCTTATTTGTTAAATCAAATGGAAATTTATTTTTCAGTTCGTCTAATACTAGATCACCAGGATTTGGAAAGTGAGCCACAGAAACCTGATGAGGCGGTTCCCCTAGATGTGATTCACATCCGACCACAGGTCCTAGATCTGCATTACTTGGTTCTGGTCTAAAATTGTCTTTAAACCTTAATTTAATGTGATTAACTACACTGTCTTAAGATGGACCTGAAGAACTGCTCTGAAATGATCAGAAGTAGCTGCATTGAGGCTGATGGAACATTAATGACTTCTGATCAGTGATGGGAATAAAATAACGGTGTTACTGTGTTCTCTTTTCGGGTAACTGAATAATCTTCCCACTGTTGCAACGCCGTTACTGGGGACGGAAAGCTATGCGTTACTATGTGCTTGTCGAATGTTGAGCAACAGTGTGAGACTTTCTGACCGCCACACATCAGCTGCAGCCAGGGAGAGAGAGAGAGGTGTTGGTAACTCACCAAACAGGCAGATGTTTTCATCCAAGCACATCACGGCCGTGAAGAACGAGGAAGATGTGATGAATATCTACAGCTGCAGGTGTGGATCTGCAGCCGTGCCCTTAGCGTGACAGCGGGACGTCCCAAAGGTCCGCTCTGCTCAGACGTCCTGATCTTCTACCTTCCTAGATCATCCAGCTGTAACCTGTTTCTGATCATGTCTTTAGTCCCGCTGTAACACTGATGCATCAGTCTCAGACGTCATGGAGCTCAGGTGTTATCAGAACTACCTGTGTGTGTTTACCACCCAGAAATGCTACTAAAACACATAATTATGTGAAGCTGGAAAAACGAAAATACTCCTCAAATTTACATTTATTTCTGTAACTTAAATGATAAATGACCCGCACTTGTACAGCGCCTCTCAGAGTAAGGACTCCAAGGCGCTTTACACTACAGTGTATCATTCATCCATTCACACACACATGCACTGGTGGGGACGAGCTACGATGTAGCCACAGCTGCCCTGGGGCGCACTGACGGAGGCGAGGCTTCAACCACCACCAGCAAGCAAGGTGGGTTAAGTGTCTTGCCCAAGGACACAACAGCAGAATTCTCTGCCCGGAGCCGGGATCGAACCTGCAACCTTCCAATTACTGGACAACCCACTCAACCTGTTGAGCTACTGCTGCCCAATTAAGACTGAGAGACCATTTAAAGGCTCGGGAACCTTTACAGGTGTTTCTATTTGCAATTTTATATTTTAGCTGATTGGGGTGTTGTTAAATATCACACAGCAAACTTTTAATAGTCTAGATAAGTGTAATGTTCCTGTTAGTAGTTCCTCCTGTTTAGTGGTTATTTAAATTATTCAGGTTTATAAAAAACATTTGGACATTTTATTATGTTCCAGTCATTAGTCATTTATATTTCACTATTGTAGTCATTTATAGTAAATTAAGTTAGTTTAACTAAGAGGGGAAGCCATTTTTCTTGCTTTCTTAATGAAAAAAGTAACTAAGTAGTTATTTTTCTTGGTAATTAGTTACTTTTATAATCTCGTAACTCAGTAAGTAACTGCAGTACTTTTTGACAAAGTAATTGGTAACTATAACTAATTACTTATTAAAGGTAACGTTCCCAACACTGTTTCTGATTTTTATTTATTAGGATAAATTTCACTATCTGTTCACTTCTGCCTCCTGCTGCCACAGCCTGATTACTGCAACCTGTTTGCCTTTACAATAAATCTATTTTGATTACAGTTTGATCTTGAACCAGGTGTGGTCAAAATATAATGGCGTTTTCCACTAAAGTATATTTGGTTCACCACACTTTCTGTTTGTTCTGAAGCCCATCCCTTCAGTGCAACCACAGAAAAAAAATGATTAAGGGTTCTGACTTTATTACATTAACACGCTTATACCAATACAGCAGATGACTGTGAATGCTTTCTCTAATGTACACTTAAATCCCAAAGCCAAAGGGTCGGACATGTTTTATTTTACCCAGAATTCTGATGGGATTTAATACTACGGGTGTTTTTCCAGTAGCACTACTTGGAGCAGTTTGGACCGATGCAGCTTGACGCCGACCACTGTTCCCAAGGCACAGTTCAGTATTTTCCCGCTTCTTTTTCCCTGTTTTTAATGATATAAGCCACAGTCGTTCCTGGCAATCAAGTAAAAAGACAACTTAAAGCTCAAAGCTGCGTTAACTCAGAGACTCAACTCCAAACTGAACGCCTGTTCATCCGGTGGAGGTGAGTTTAATGAGCACCTGGTTTGCACCTTAAAACATTCTCATGGTTGTGTATAAATAAGTGGCATGACATGTTGGTTAGCTTCAGTGTTTAGCTGTTAATAAAGCTATTATGCACAGTAATGAGTTACAGATGGCTGTATTAGCTTACTAAAGCTAACACAGTAATGTATCAAGTATAGCATACTTGTTAGCATGAGGCTAGGCTAACAGTGTTGTGTTACAGATAGCTTAATTAGCTTACTAAAGCTAACACAGTAATGTATCAAGTATAGCATACTTGTTAGCATGAGGCTAACAGTGTTGTGTTACAGATAGCTTAATTAGCTTCCTGAAGCTAATGCACTGTAATGCATTACAGTTAGCATCATTGGCTTCCAACCCCATGTGTAACCTGGTTTAGCTCAAAGATCAACTTTAGTCATTTTTTAAATTCATTTGCAGTTGTCTTTAGGGATGAATGCTGTGTAAGTCATTGTCTGGGGGAAAATATGGGATGCAAAGTATAAATTGCTGGTGCAAACAATTGTGCAGACTTTCCTATATTCAAAATTTAAAATGTTTAAATGTCTCAATTTCAGCTAACCTAAATCTAAATGCTAAGTGCAAATGTTAAATATAAATATAAATCCAACAATTAAATCTAAAAATTAAACATAAATATTACATCTAAATGTAAAAGTTAATAGTATATCTAAATGTTAAATCTAAACCAAAATGTCAAATGCTGCACAGGTGATTCAGCCACTGAATCATGTGTGTTGGAGCAGAGAAACCACTAAAATGTGCTGGATACCGGCCCTACAGGCCTGGAATAGGGAGCCTAAGTCACACCCATCTACTTCTGGACCACGGGTCCCGGAAGGACGAAAAAATGAATGCAAGTCAATGGGGCTAAAATCTAATTCAGCTTGTTTTGTGCCATGGATTTCACATATGATGTCTGTGAATTTTAAAGACACATTTTGATACCAAAAACATGCTTATTTTCGAACAGGGGGGACTTTATTTTAGGTTTTGTGTGAAAATAAGTCTATGACTACAAATGCGCTTCACGAAAGTGATTTCATCGAAGCAGACGCGGAGAAAACTGAGGGAAAAGGGCTGTAAGTTCAGCAAACTTCCCACAGGAGGAAAGAACCTCCATAAATCTGGTCATTTGGTAAGTAGCAGCTACTTTGGGGAGAGGAGATTATGTGGTGTGACGTTCCGATTTCTGGTGTGTAGCCATGCTATTTACGAACATTTCCAAGCTGATAAATCTCAAAGTACGTGACAGGCATGGTCGAAACACCAATTATTACTTTTCCTTTACATTTTTGTACAACATATGTGCGACCCAGAGTCTGAGGCAAAGCGGATTAGAAAATAACACCATTGACTTGCAATCATTTTTTTCGTTCTTCCAGGGACCCATGAGCCGACCGGAAAGAGAGGCTTCCTATTGACTACCCCTGCTTTACAGGGTTAATGCAAGGCCACCCAGCCCCTGTCGCCCCCTGTGGCCAGAACATTCCACCTGCAACTTCAAAATGGCGGGCCGCTCTTTTGGGGCTTAGAAAATTGAGCTGACATACCTGGCGCTGCAGTCTGGTTCCAGCAGGATTTAGGTCATGAACACAGCTGATTAGTTTAATTTAGTGAAGATAATTAAGGAAGGAAGCCTGGGGGGACATTTCAGCTGTAAGAATAAATCAAACTCAAATCAAAGCTTTTTCTAATAAAGCGCCTTCCTTGTCAGGAAGCCCAAGGCGCTGAACACAGTACATAAGAAAAGTGAAACACATGAATAAACAGATAATAAAAGCAATTCAAATAGTGCAAAAAAAAACATTAAAGTAGAAACAAATGGATAAAGAGACCAATGAAAACAGGGAAATAAAATCAACATCAGGGAAGTTAACATTTGACCCTCCTGCATTGTTAATGGGGTCAGATGGACCTCTGGTGTATTTTTATTTTTTATTTTAATATTTTTTAAGGGGTGCTTCACTTCATCCCTGCCAAGTCATAAACTTTAAACCCTGTTTGACCACCCCCTGCCCTGGCGGGGGTCACCTGATAGGAAAGTGGAAGCTGAAAATTTAGAGGAAACAAATATTTTAACCTGAAACCACACAGCAGCTTTTGTTTGTTTAAATCAGAACTCTGAAACAGAAGTTTTGTGTCTTGACAGTCACAGCACTCTCAGTTTGGTGGATTAGCACCATCGCTGCGACCAAGCGAAACCGTAAAGTTGGTGGTGGCTTGTTTGAGACGACTTTGGTTTCGACTTTGGATTTTCTTTGAGTAAATAGCAGATATTTAAGTTCTTTATTTAGAAAAAGGATGCATTTGCATTTTCCTCAGTAGTGTATGCCCTGTTGACATCTGTAGAGATGAGTACATCACGTTGTTCGTTGACCAGTAGCATGTGGAGACTGTTAAAAAGACAACCATAGATTTCGCCCTATGGAGTAGCCCCTGGCTCCTCTCTCCACTGAGAGAGGAGCCGGAGTCAAATAGTTGTCTCCGCCCACCTACAGGTGCTGGCCAGTAAATTAGAATATCATCAAAAGGTTGAAAATATTTCAGTAATTCCATTCAAAACGTGAAACTTGTACATTATATTCATGCAATGCACACAGACCAATGTATTTCCAATGTTCATTACATTTAAATTTGATATTTATAGGTGACAACCAATGAAAACATCAAATCTGGTATCTCAGAAAATTAGAATATTCTAAAGGCCAATGAAAAAATGTTTGTTTCTCTAATGTTGGCCAACTGAAAAGAATGAACATGAAAAGAATGTGCATGTATAGCACTCAATACTTAGTCGGGGCTCCTTTTGCCTCAATAACTGCAGTAATGCGGCGTGGCATGGACTCGATCAGTCTGTGGCACTGCTCAGGTGTTATGAGAGCCCAGGTTGCTCTGATAGTCGTCTTCAGCTCCTCTGCATTGTTGGGTCTAGCGTATTGCATCCTCCGCTTCACAATACCCCATAGATTTTCTATGGGGTTAAGGTCAGGCGAGTTTGCTGGCCAATCAAGGACAGGGATACCATGGTCCTTGAACCAGGTGCTGGTGGTTTTGGCACTGTGTGCAGGTGCCAAGTCCTGTTGAAAGGTGAAGTCTGCATCCCCATAAAGTTGGTCAGCAGCAGGAAGCATGAAGTGCTCTAAAACTTCCTGGTAGACGGCTGCATTGACCCTGGACCTCAGGAAACAGAGTGGGCCAACACCGGCAGATGACATGGCACCCCACACCATCACTGACGGTGGAAACTTTACACTGGACCTCATGCAACGTGGATTCTGTGCTTCTCCGCTCTTCCTCCAGACTCTGGGTCCTTGATTTCCAAAGGAAATGCAGAACTTGCTTTCATCAGAAAACATAACTTTGGACCACTCAGCATCAGTCCAGTCCTTTTTGTCCTTGGCCCAGGCGAGACGCTTCTTGCGCTGTTTCTTGTTCAAGAGTGGCTTGACACACGGAATGCGACACCTGAATCCCATGTCTTTCATGAGTCTCCTCGTGGTGGTTCTTGAAGCGCTGACTCCAGCTGCAGTCCACTCTTTGTGGATCTCCCCCACATTTTTGAATGGGTTTGTCGTCACAATTCTCTGCAGGGTGCGGTTATCCCTAGAGCTTGTACACTTTTTTCTACCACATTTTTTCCGTCCCTTCGCCTGTCTGTTAATGTGCTTGGACACAGAGCTCTGCGAACAGCCAGCTTCTTTAGCAATCACCTTTTGTGTCTTGCCCTCCTTGTGCAAGGTGTCAATGATTGTCTTTTGGACAGCTGTTAAGTCAGAAGTCTTCCCCATGATTGTGGTGCCTTCAAAACAAGACTGAGGGACCTTTTAAAGGCCTTTGCAGGTGTTTTGAGTAAATCAGCTGATTAGAGTGGCAGCAGGTGTCTTCTATATTCAGCCTTTTCAGAATATTCTAATTTTTTGAGATACCAAATTTGGAGTTTTCATTAGTTGTCACGTATGAATATCAAATTTAAATGTAATGAACATTGGAAATACATTGGTCTGTGTGCATTGCATGAATATAATGTACAAGTTTCACGTTTTGAATGGAATTACTGAAATATTTTCAACCTTTTGATGATATTCTAATTTACTGGCCAGCACCTGTATAAACATTTGATCCCGCCCACATTTTGCCCCGCAACTGATCTCCGGGAGGCAGTCAGGGGTAGTTGGCCTTATGACAGATTTTTTTCATGGATCGTGGCCAGACCATATATTCACATATTGGATGGCGGCCCACCGTTCTGAACCAGCTCAGTGGCCTGGTGGTAGAGTGTCTGCCCTGAGACCAGGAGTTCAGGATTCAATTCCTGGTCGGACTTTGACTTTGAAAAAATGGGACCCAATGTCTCCCTTTTTGACACTCAGCATTAAGGGGTTGGATTGGGGGGGTTAAACCACCAAATGGTTCCCGAGCGCGGCTGTGTCTGCAGCTCACCGCTCCCCCAGGGGATGGGTCAAATGCGGAGAACAAATGTTGCACACACATCAGTGTGTGTGACAACTAATGGGACTTTGACTTTGCCAGCTGTCTGGATTCACTAGATAAAAAAAATTGGTTTCAAATTGTAAGTGTTTTGCATTATGTCCACGAGACAAAACTAGACCGGATCAGGAGTTTAGACTGGACCAGATTGGGAGTTTAGACTGGACAACAGGAGTTTAGCCTAGACAGAGCAGGTTGTCCAGAAATTGGAGAGTAGTAGGCTTGATCCCGGTCCTGCCAGGGAATGCTACTGCTGCATCCTTGTTCGGCTGCCTCCGTCAGTGCGCTCCAGGGCAGCTGTGGCTACATTGTAGCTCATCCCCACCAGCGAGTGAATGTGTCAGTGAATGGGTGGATGACCGATTGTGTTGTGAAGCACTTTGGGGGGTTCTGGAACCCCAGAGGGCACAATATCAAACACAGACCATTTACCATGTGCTGGACTGGATCGGGAGGTTTTTAGTTGTAAATAAAACCCAAACTTCTCCATTATCATTCACGTTTAATTGTTGTTGTTTTTTAAAGGTTTGGGGCAATGAGGTAAAATTTCAGATGAAAGGATGCTGGAAAAACCTGGTGAGGAGAGAGATCAGAAACAGGGACTTCCCTGAGCTTCCATCATCTGCAGGGAGGGAAAAATACATTCACACACACACACACTGCCTCCCACGTACACACACGCACACCGAGCTGAGCGCTAGCAAGAGGCTTTACACACAGCTTCACCCTAAACCGAGACAAAAGGACTGTAATCCGCCACCATGGAGGAAAACATGGACGAATCTCAGAGCCAGAAAGGTAGGACTCGGAATAATCAGAACATTTTATCTTTGGTCAGATGCTTCCATTGTTCTGTTTATCCATCCATGCATCCCTGTGGGTGCCGTGGGATTCCTTTGTGTGTTTGTGGGCTGAAGTACGACAGCATCCCTGTCCGGCTAAATAAAACCTGATTACCATTTGGGGTTTTTTCAGTGTGCACCAGGTTCAGCATTCCGATCTATTTCCCTCGTTGTTGTTTTCATGAGAAATGGAGGGATGCCGTGCATGTTAATGAAGCACTGCTGTGTGTGATCGCAGCTCGGCATCACGGGACGAGGCTTTTCTGAGCTGCGGTGAATAAACTGTCAGATTGTTTGGGTTGAGGTAATGACGGACACCAAGGGGTCGTGTTGTTTAGAGGCTGGGCGGACAGATGGACAGGCAGATGGATGGATGCGTGGACGGAGGAGGTGGGAGTGGCTCGAGGGAGGAAAGGGGGAGAAAGAGGGAACGAGTGTGGGGTAAAACCTTGAAATAAAGAGCAGAAATGATGATGGGGGGGTAAGTGGGGCAGTGATTGATGCCTTCGTCGGGATGCTCTTTGTTTGCCTCCATTGTTGAAGCTTCACGCTTGTCTGAACTCCTCTTCTTCTCTCTGCACGTCTCCCCCCTTCCTCTGATATCTCACCCTTTCCCTCCATTTTCCACATCCCTCCAGCAGAAGCCGTCTCCTGGTTCCTCGCATCAGTCTTTCTGCTGGGTTCTGGTTCTGAAACCATTATTCTAACTCCTCTCTGACTCACCACCCTCTCAAACTGTCGTTCCCTCCCTTCATCCCAGTTTCTCTTTCTCCATTTTCACCTTTTTCCAAAATATTCCGGTCAATTGTCATCGCCCCAGCTCTCTAGATGATTATTTTTTATTGAACGATGGCATTTTTAATCATCCTAACATTAATATACATTTTTTTGTGTTGTTGTCGGAGCTGAAAATGGGCGTGTCCACCGTCTCCATTGCACCTTCGCTCTCTGAACTCCATCAGAGGTGTTGGAGCTTTCACAGATTCCGAAACAAAACCAATAATTAAACCATTCTAATTGGGAATGATGACCTTTATTCCCTTTATGAACGCTACATCTATGGTCACATCGCTGTGGCTTTGTCTCCTGCTCTCTGATTGGCTGATTTGTGTGCTTTTTCTGGAAGGAACTCGTTTTAGCCAATCAGAGAGGTGAAAGTCGAGTCTCCGTGTTCAAGCAAACGTGATTTTTCATTCCAGGCACTTTGCCGTTTCTCCCCCTCTCCTTCTGTTCATCCAGCTCCCATCCCTCTCTCTCCGCTGGCCTCGCCCTCCTCCCATCCCTGCTCTAGCCCAGGTGTGTCTGGGAGGAAGGCTGGCAGGTGAGGTCAGAACACCAAAGAGAACAGGAACCAGTCTGATGCATCTACCAGACGAGTTACAGAAGTTTTATCATCTAAACGTTTAACCTTTAATATTACCTCCATGTTGAGAAATCCAGAAAATGTTTCCATTCTTTCATCAGATTTATTGGATTAAAATAAACGGGTAACTGCTTTTTATCATCGGTGTTCTGCACAGAACCGCTTCTTATTATGAAGGAAACATCTGATTGTTTCCTCCTGAACAATCTGAAGGAGCTTTTCTGTCAAACACAAGTAAAAACAAAACGTTTGAATCTATTTATTAGAAAGAAAGCGTGATGATTCATGACACCGTATGAACGCCTTCCTCTGTCTCAGATTCACAGAGCTGTGCTTTTTGGTCCATTTTTAAAATCAAAACTATTTTTGTCACATTTGTAATAAATAAAGCCGTCTCATTCTAGATCCACATCATTTATTTAACGCTTTTAAACCTTTTTTCATGTAAAAACATGGATTTATTTAGAGGAATCGGCTTGTCAAAAACATCAGTCCGTCTTAAACACAGAAGTCTGTCAGAGCCTTGTTTCTAAACAGCATGAAAAAAAATCCCACACTTTTTCCAGTCTGTGAACTCACCGTCACTAATTCAGGCTGGCAGCAGCAGCAGCTGCGTTCTGGTTCTGAGAGGTGAATCGGTATCGGGCCTAGAACCAGAATGGGTGCATCAGTCAGAGCGTTTAGATCGGGACGAGTCCAGATCTGATGTCATCAACAGCTGATGACAGATTATCAACCTGCTGCTGTTTGTTTCTGTTTCCGCTTCAGATTTGATTAGATTCAGTTCAGACAAGAGAGAAGAGGATTATTCTGGGACAAACCTGCAGTTTTACACCTAAACGGTCATCTGATGAAAGCCGTGTTAGTGTGAGGTAAAGCGTGAACTGGTCTGTGGTGATTGGTCTGTTTTTGTTCATTCTGAGACTCGAACTGAAGCTGGACAGCTGACGTGTCTCTGATGCTGGACTCTGCCCGGGCTTCATATCCATTTCATTATTATGACCGCTAATAGAAAGGAACTTAATAACGAGGAGAAGAGTCGATACAAACCCACTAACAGAGGAGGGGAGTGTGTGTGTGTGTGTGTGTGTGTGTGTGAGAGAGAGATGCCGGGAGGAGAGCTGCAGAGGAGCTTCTGTTTTCTCTCTGAATACATTCCTGCCTGGTTCTGTTCTGAATCCTCTCAGATGGTCATTAATGAGGCGGATTGTCTGGAGAAACCGGGTCTCTGACACGGTACCAAGTCCAAATCAGGTTCTGCTCAGCATCAGGTTTTAGGAACCAGAATCAACCTCCTAAAGGTGGAACACGGTCTGGTTCTGGCTGCGTTTCTACCGGTGAATGGACCGGGTCCAACCTCAGTCTGAGGATGACATCATCACCACAGTCTCTCGCTGCTCTGGAGGAAGGAGCGGCTCCTCTTCCTCATCTTCATCACCAGATCCATCTTTTAACTGCAGGCCTGAATCACCTGTACCGGATCAGACCGGACTGGAGTGATGAAGATGTCTCTGACGTGGAAGCTCAGAACCTTCTGCTGTCCTGAGCCGAACCTGCAGACGCCGTTTCAGCTGTGACCATCTAAACATGTCAGAATCAGGATTAATCTACGGGCCCAGATCTGGACCTGTTCTGTTTCTGAGGAACAGACTCTGGTCCGACCGGCGACCCGCTTCAGTCTGATTTAGGTTTGTTCTACACGAAGTTTCACTTCAACACTAAACTTAAACGTTAGGTGTGATCCTGTGTGAGCGGCCTGATCTCGTTCTAGACCCACAAGTTAAAAACATGCATTTGGTCACACACAGGGCTAGAGGAGGAGGAGGAGGAGACACGGTGACAACAACTATAAAAATACCTGTTGATCACTAAAAGCAGGTAAAAAGGTGAAAAAAACAACATTTTCTAAATAAAACATGAAGGAACATCAATTTATTTGTAATTTATATCAGAGCAGAAGAGGTTTAGATTCCTCACTCACTCACTCACTCACTCACTCACTCACTCACTCACTCACTCACTCACTCACTCACTCACTCACTCACTCACTCACTCACTCACTCACTCACTCACTGCATCATCCTCACTGGAGCCTCAGAGAGCTGATGTGTAAGACCATCAGTCACCAGGTGAGAGGCGGGGCTACACCTGGATGTCCATCACTGGGACACACACAGACAAGCCCCCACTCACTCACACCTGCATGTTTTTGGTCTGTGGGAGGAAACTGGTGAAAGCAGAAAGGCCATGCATGCATGGGGACAACATGTGAACTCCACGCATAAAGGCTGCAGCTGGGATTGGAACCTGCAACCTCCTTGCTGTGTATCAGGTTGTTGACATTTAAAACGACACAAATGAGATTTATGATTGAAGGTGAATGAGCTCAGATGAGACCTTCAGGTTTGTCTGATGGATCCTGTCGTTCACGTCCTCACTAGTTCTTCTCTTTCATGTTCGATTTAAAATCTTCTTTATTGATCATATTTCTAATAATTTGAACTGAAGTATGTAAGCAAACCAGATGTGCAAAGAGCAGAAGATTGTTTCTGAAGTTACTGAAAATAACAGCTTCAACACGATGACGCTTTATTAAAAATAATTATTAAATCTTTTTTTAACCTTTAAATTTTGTTTAGATCTTTAATTTCTTCCATCAAGTACAAAAATGTTGGCCTAGAAATCTGGACAGACAGTAGCCGGTATGGTGGGCCAATCACAGCGCTCTGTGGTCACTCCAGGCCAATCACAGCATTCTATTGGACTGGTGGGCCAATCACAGCACTTTATCAGTTTTGGTGGGCCAATCACAGCTTTCTGTTGGTTTGGTGGGCCAATCACAGCTTTCTGTTGGTTTGGTGGGCCAATCACAGCACTAAATTGGGTTGGTGGGCCAATCACTGCGCTTTATCGGTTTGGTGGGCGGGATTATGCAACAAAGTGGAACTACTGGATGGCGGCGGCTCGTTTGAAACAACTTTGGACTATTTAGACAGGTTTTTCTTTGAGTCAAGAGCAGGTAGAGCTTTATTTAAGGAAAGGATGTATTTGCGTCCTCTTCAACGCTGTATGGCCGATTGCCCCGTTGACGGACATCAGTAGTAATAAGTACATCACGTTGAATGTTGTCTAATAGCATGCAAAGACAGTTTGAAAGACAGCTATAGATTCTGCCCCATGACTCAGATGTTCTTATGGGTCATGGCTAGACTATATAATCACTTATAGAGCATGGCTTAACAGGCAGCAAAAAATGTAAAAATAAATGTTAAATAATAAAAAGTACAGTAAACACTTACTGATCAAAACTCTCTAATGTGTTCAAACTTTATCCTTAACAAATATTTTCTTTGACACGTAATCTCATGAAACAAGTTTCTTCTTTACATTCTTCTGCCTTTTGTTTGTGCCGTTTTTGTTTTGGCGAAACATCTGGAGTCTGTCTGGAAACACATTTGAACTTGAGTAACAGCTGGACAAAACTGAGTCCAACCCAGCTCCTGAATGCTTTTAAAATCCTATGAACCCTGCAGGACACTACAGCACCCTACAGAATCATGCAGAACCAGGAACGGGTTCATTATTTCCCGTAT